ACTTCAGGTTTGAATAACATTTCTAAATGTTGCAACAACCAAATTACGTTTTGGTGTGTCATTATGATTTGCGCAGCTGAAAGCAGTTTTGGAAATTTTTATACTCAATCCTAAATAGAATTTCTAAATTAATTTTTCAAACTTACTATGTAACCAAAACTGATTTATTTGTAATGTCACTTTCAGTTAAACATGCATGGGGTGTCTCTCAATTGACCATGTAATTGAGCATAATAATTAACATTTGTGTTCCGAGGCAAAATAATTTACTTAAATTGTCAACTTCTCCAACGCACAGCTTGGAGAATCCAAAGCTTTGGATTCTCCAGCTGCGCGTCGAGAAGGGACGTTCAGGTAAGCAACGTCCAATTCCAAATAATTTGTAATATTGGGGCAGTACGGATATTACGATAAATATACATTTCCTGCTAATTTCCAGTTTTGATCAGAAGAGGTTGAACATACTTGGGCATGTCCTCTATGACTCTATGGTTTATATAGGTTGTATGTGCATACCCATACAACTTTATCAAAACATGCCTGACCACTAAAACCCATTGCAGCACAACCAACACAAGCTATAAATAGAATATCACTGCCCTACATCAGAAACATCTTAGAAGCAACCAACAGACTATTGCAATTACACAGTACACAAATAAACTAAAACCCTCCAAAATATTTTAAATAAACTAAAAGACCCAGCAGCCCAAAAAGAAAAAAACAGGAGTCATCTGTAACATACAGTATAAGAACTGTAACAGCCATTATATAGGATGCACAGGCATAAGACTATCAGAGGGCATCCATGAACATCAATTATAGTCAGAAAACATGATAAAAACTACTTAGAGACATGGACAGACAGGCTCAAACATAATTTCAACTGGAAAGTTTTGAACATGCTAGACCAAGCTAAATCTAAAAACAGTAGGAAATTCCTGAAAGTTTGACACTTAGATATGTTAACCATCAACAGAAATATTTAGCCACCATTGAAAAGAGACAATAAAAAAGCTAGGAGAGAAACAAAAAGGCCACAACACATCCTCTTCAGCAGCGAACATCCAGACAAGTAGAGATTAACATCAGACAAACAATCAAGAAGAAAACAATAGCCTGATCAAGAAACTACTATGGAGAAAATAACACTTGCAACAACACTGGCAAGACATGTTGCCAGTGGTGGGTTTCTACCGGTTCGCCCTGGTTTGGGCAAACTGGTAGTGGTGGCAGCGGGAGGCTCTACCCACCCACCCGGAAGCACCATGCATGAACAAAGCAAGTGCACACATATGCGCGCTCACAGTTCCGAACCAGTAGCGAAGGTAAGTGGAACCCACTACTGCATGCTGGGGTATATAAACAGCCAGTAAATATCACACTACTGATAGTTTTATTTAGTTATTTATTTATTTATAAAATTGATAGACCATCCTTACCACAGGGTAACTCTGGGCAGCTTACAATAATAAAAGATATAATTATATATACATACAGTATGTCACAGAAGTGAGTACACCCCCTCACATTTTGTAAATATTTAAATATATCTTTTCATGTAACAACACTAAAGAAATGACACTTGGCTACAATGTAAAGTGATGAGTATACAGCTTGTATAACAGTGTAAATGTGCTGTCCCCTCAAAATAATGCAACACACAGCCATTAATGTCTAAACTGCTGGCAACAAAAATGAATACACCCCTAAGTGATAATGTCCAAATGGGGCCTAAGTAGCCGTTTTCTCTCCCTGGTGTCATGTGATTTGTTAGTGGTACAAGGTCTTAGGTGTGAAGGAGCAGGTGTGTTAAATTTGGTGTTATCACTCTCACTCTCTCATACTGGTCACTGGCAGTTCAACATGGCACCTCATGGCAATGAACTCTGAGGATCTGAAAAAAATGAATTGTTGCTCTACATAAAGATGGCCTAGGGCCTAGGCTATAAGAAGATTGCAAAGACCCTGAAACTGAACTGCAGTACAGTGGCCAAGACCATAAAGCGGTTTAACAGAACAGGTTCCACTCAGAACAGGCCTCGCCATGGTCAACCAAAGAAGTTGAGTGCCCATGCTCAGCGTCGTATCCAGAGGTTGGCTTTGGGAAATAGACATATCAGTGCTGCCAGCATTGCTGCAGAGGTTGACCATACTGTCAGACCATACGCCGCACACTGCATCAAATTGATCTGCAGGGCTTCGTCCCAGAAGGAAGCCTCTTCTAAAGATGATGCATAAGAAAGCCCGCAAATGGTTTGCTGCAGACAAGCAGACTAAGGACATGGATTTCTGGAACCATGTCCTGTGGGCCAGTGAGACCAAGATAAACTTATTTGGTTCAGATGGTGTCAAGTGGCAACCAGGTGAGGAGTACAAAGACAAGTGTATGTTGCCTACAGTCAAGCATGGTGGTTGGAATGTCATGGTCTGCAGCTGCATGAGTGCTGCCGGCACTGGGGAGCTACAGTTCATTGAGGGAACCATGAATGCCAACATGTAATGTGACATACTGAAGCAGAGCATGATCCCCTCCCTTTGGAGACTGGGCTGCAGGGCAGTATTCAAACATGGTAACGACCCCAAACACACTTCCAGAACAACCACTGCCTTACTAAAGAAGCTGAGGGTAAAGGTGATGGACTGGCCAAGCATGTCTCCAGACCTAAACCCTATTGAGCATCTGTGAGGCATCCTGAAATGGAAGGTGGAGTTGCACAAGGTCTCTAACAACCACCAGCTCTGTGACGTCATGGAGGAGTAGAAGAGGACTCCAGTGGCAACTTGTGAAGCTCTGGTGAACTCTGTGCTCAAGAGGGTTAAGGCAATGCTGGAAAATAATGATGGCCACGCAAAATATTGATACTTTGGGCCCCATTTAGACACTTAGGGGTTTACTCACTTTTGTTGCCAGCAGTTTAGACATTAATGGCTGCGTGTTGCGTTATTTTGAGAGGACAGCACATTTACATTGTTATACAAGCTGTATACTCACTACTTTACATTATATATATATATATATATATAATGAGAGAGGTAGATCCCCATGGTCACATGATTAGAATTTGGATGCTTGGCAATTGGTTCATATTAATAACAGTTGCAGTGTCCTAAGGTCATGTGGTCATATTTTGTGATCTTTTGAGAAGCAAGTTTAATGGGGAAGCCCAATTCACTTAACAACTGGGTTACTAACTTAACAACTGCAGTGATTCACTTAACAACTGTGGCAAGAAAGATTTAAAATGGAGCAAAATTCACTTAACCGCTGTCTCAATTAGCAACAAAATTAGAAATTTTGGGCTCAGTTGTGGTCATAAGTTGAGGACTACCTTTATTCAACTTGGTTGTTTATGTGCCATCAAGTTGAAAACCACATTTCCTCCATATCGATTAGCCTGCTAGCATGGTGTCAGGGAAGAACAGGCAAAGAGTGTCACATGCATCTTGATACATAATCACAGGTCTTAATGATTGTCCGGTTACACTTATGTACATCATTATGAATTGTTTTGAAAGGATGATAAAGGACTTTATTGTATCCAGCCTCCCTCCAGCATTTGACTCACTTCAGTTCGCTTATCGTCCAAATTGTTCCATTTCCTCTTTTCTCCATCTGAGCTTGGCACACTTAGAGGAAAGAAGTACTCATGTGCAAATGCTGTTTGTCGACTTTAGTTCAGCATTTAATACAATTCTCAGCATTTAGTAGATACGCTGGGCCTTTTATGCTTTAAGACTCCTTTGTGCAACTGGATTCTTGATTTTCTCATTGATAGGCCCCAGTATATACGAGTTGGAACTAATATTTCTAACACCATGTTCTTGAGCACAAGTTTATCTCAGGGCTTTGTTTTAAGTTCGCTGTTGTTCACCCTGCTGCCCCATGACTGTTGTGCAAGTTTTGCTACCAACCATATTGTGAGATGATACAACAGTGGTGGGCCTTCCTTATACCGGATGACAATGAGAGTGATTACTGGGAGGAGGTAGAGGGTTTGGGTGAACTGGTGTAATAAAAACAGTCTGGTTTTAAATATAGGAAAAATAAAAGAAATCATTGTCAATTTCAAAAAAAGCAGGCACACCCATACATCTGTGTATTAACAATTCACCTGTGGAGGTGGTTAGTACTATCAAGTTTTTGGGTGTGCAGCTGATAAGGTTAGCTTGGTGGCTCACCAGTGAGACACTGGTAAAGCAGGCACAGCAACAGCTGCATTTTCTGTGTCTTATAAGAAGAGCATATCTTCATTCACTTATCCATACCATTTTTATAGAGGGACAGTTGAAAGCATCCAGTCATATTGTATTGCTGTGTGGTTTGGAAGTATTACTGTTTTGGACAGGAAGGTTGTGCAGAGAGAGGTGAGCATGGCATAAAAGATTATTAGAAGTTCACTTCCTTCTATCCAGGACATGACATATAACCGATGCCTGGCCAGAATCTGCAATATTGTCAGGGATGCTGCACATCCTCTCCATGACCGGGTTTTCTTTGTTACCTTCTGGGAGGAATCTTCGCAATATCCAAAACAGAACAGCTAGATTCTGCAATAGCTTTGTATCATATAATATCAACCTTGTTAATTCTCAAAATACGTTTTTTCCACTATGTATTAAAAAAGGATTGTAATTAGTGTGTGTGTGTGTGTGCCATACACATATGGGAATAGGTATGGATATGGGTATATATATATTTTCTTTAGAGAGCGGACATCAGAATTTCATTTTTTAATGTGTGCCAATGTGTTTACAGAACAAAGTGACAATAAAGGTTATCTTATAATCGTGTGTGATTATGGTATTATATGTATGTTACCATTTTGGTGTCATTATAGTTTGTGGTATATGCTGCTACCTTGGAGTGTAAATTGTTTTTAACTGACCCTAGTACTAATGAAAGAAATACATAATATTCAAAGCAATTGTTTAAAACCTTAACTTGTGTTAAGTTTCAGACTGAATTTTAAACACTCTGGGTTTTTTTTAATCTGCAGATTTCTGTGGCTATGAACTAATATGATTGGCTAGCCTTATTGGCACTAAAATCTAATGCCCCCACCGATAACTTGGAAGGATTGAACACTCACAAAAGGGAATGTTACGGTGGACAGTTCATTTAGAAGGTGGGCCTCGAAGAGTAAACCACGCTGCTGTGGCTGTTGGACATAAAGTCTACTCTTTTGGTGGTTACTGTTCTGGTGAAGATTATGAAACTCTACGACAGATTGATGTTCATGTATTTAATGCAGGTGAGTTGAGGAATGTTAAGGTTTAGAGAAACAGGACTTAATTATGCTTTATTTAAAAAAAATTCAAATACATATGTTTATGTTTAGTGAATATTAATTTTAATTTAATATGTCAGCCATCAAACATAGATGAAGCTACTGAAAATTTTAAAATATTCAATTATGGTGATGAAGCAAAAGAATTTCTCATATTAAAATTTTTCCTTTATAGTAAAATTATATATTTGGGGGAAGCACATGTAAAACAATACCATGTTTTGGAGAAAAATGGAGTGCCAGTTATTAGTATATTGCAGGAGATCATTTACTGATTTTTAATATTATTAATTGTTTATTTGCCAATTTTGAACTGTGTAACACATCAGCTTTTATCTCAAGAAAGTCAAAGCTCTCCTTATTGTTTATTTAGTAAGAAATCTTAGATAACTTCATAAGAGAATCCTATGTAGTTTCCCATTATCTATATAATTCTGAGGTGCCAGTACTCTGCATATACCTTTTAGTTTATTTATTTATGAAATTTATTTGCCCTCCCCATCTCATATCTAATGATTCTGGGCAGCTTACATCATAAAAATATTAAAAAACAACAATTATAGAACACAGTGGATAAAACCATTAACAAATAAAGTAGTTGGTAGAATCCTAGCAACAGTACATAGTATATAGTACTGATAAACTGGTCCGAGATTAGTTTGTAGAGAATAGTGAGTTTGTCATGTTTATGGTACAACTGCTACCTAAAATGTGTGAAAAACTGACTGATACCATGGAAAATGCTACATATGGCATGGGTACAACTAAGGATAGTAATTTAGTCCACCCTAACCCTAAATTGAAATGATGGAACATGTTATTTTGTACTGTTCCCTCTACGCAGGTTCCTCTACCAGGAATTTTTATCACTCTTTTCCACTAACGAGTCTGGTCATTCCTACTTGTACTATTATAGTACAATTATACTGTAATTATAAGTATAGTATGTGATATATACTATAAATACACACACACACACACACACACACACACACACACACACATACATATATATCATTATATAAATATACAATTATAGTATAATTATATAGTTCAGTTATAGTAAGTTGTAACTATCTGATCAATCTGGTTTAACTTCATGGATTACAGCTAAGTACTGCTAAAGTTTGTACAGTATGGTACACTATAATATCTCTTCCATTTTTTCTTACATACTTTTAGAATGTTACATATTTCTCTTTTTAATCTTAATTGTGATTTTTATTTTTGATCGATTGATTGATAGAACTTTCTGAGCTTTTTTCTAATAGTCTCTCTGCGTTGGACCAAACTACCACCAGTGTGGACGAACAGCAGGGACCATGTGAGAGAAGTTCCTTACATGAGATATGGGCATTCTGCGGTGCTGATTGATGACACTATCTACATCTGGGGAGGCCGTAATGATACTGAGGGAGCCTGCAATGTATTATATGCCTTTGACGTCAGTAAGTGTTGTTGTCCTGCTTCCATAACTTTCACTATCACATGCTTATAAAGGCAAATAGGCAGGGAGGACAAACGTTTAGGCCATTTATCTCTTACTGATATGATGTTAATGGAGTAATGACGGCACGTAGCAATGGCCATGATATTAAACTGAGTAAGCCAAGTGTGTTAACTATAAATGAAGAATTATTATTAATAATTACTACATTTATTATGCTTTTGAACTTTAATTATATACTTTAAATATTTATATTTTTACATGTAAACACTTCTAAATTATATACTCAGGTTATGTCAATGTGTTGCCCACTAATAATAAATATTAAATATATTATTTCTAAATTAAGCATTTAGGAAATATTTATTAATGTAATTGCTTTCCGTTCTATTTCATTTTTGTTCTTATTATACAATCAGCTTCATTAGTATATTGAGGCAAGTAATGAACATTATTCTTATCATTACTGAAATTACTTTTCCTTCTAAGTTAAAATCAGCTTCATTGTTAGTGAGGCTAGTAGTAATAATGATGATGATTATAAACTAATGAGATTGAAACTATTTGTGCTTAAATTCATTTGAAACCAATGTTCTCTTTGTTTTTCTGTTCACTGCATAGTAATCTCTTTAGCTTGGCACAGTAGGATTCTATGCCTCCAAAATGCTAAATGCCTGCTTTTGGAAGCTCTAACAAGTTGAGCTTTCTGTGAAGACAGCCTCAAGTACACTGGGTACAAATGGAGTAGCATGAGTTTGTGGAAGAAATGCACATGACACAGTAGCTAATGCATTCTTTGTATATATCAAGATGTGAATACCCTAGTATCAGAAAGAGGATAGACAAAATGAGCAAATAAGATATGTTAATATACAGTAGTGATTAAAAGTTGGTGAACCCTTTTGAATTTTCAATATCTCTGCATAAGTATGACTTGAATTATGATCTGTTCAAGTGCAAATGGGTCATACAGTAAGACAGTGATCCCAAACATGCAAGCAAGTTCAGAGCAGAACAGATGAAGATAAGGAAGATGAATATTTTGGAATGGTGAGGTCAAACTCCAGATTTAATTTACAGAACTATTATCTGAAATGAGCAGTTCATGCTGAAAATTCAAATGTTACTGAGTTAAAGATGTTTGTCATAGAGGAATGGGACAGAATTCCTACATGGTGAAGTGGGAGCCTGATAATCAAGTCTAAGGAACATTTGATTGCAGTTTTTGCTGCTAAAAAGTGGTGCAGTAAGTTGCTGAATCTAAGGGAGAACATTATTTTTTTCACACTGTCACAGATTGGATGACTTTATGAAATAAGTAAAACACGCTTCAAACTTTGGGGCTTTTTTTTTCACTTGGACTACTCTTCTGTATCAATAAGATTCAAATGAAGCTCTGATAACATAAAAGTTTAGAAAAATCCAAAATATAGCAAATACCCTCCCAAAGAAGTAAGGTTAACAAATTATCTGAGCAAATTGTCCTAAGAAACAAACAAGAAAATGTATACCAAGTTGATCTTAGCAATTGGGTTTATTGTTTAATATGGAAGAGGGGAAATACGGAGAAATAAATATAAGAACTCAGTTAGAAAACTGGAAAGATACATTAGTTCCCACCATGGAAGAGTGGATGAGAAAGGTGATCGAATTAGCGTTGGTGGCAGTTTTGTTTCTACTTGGAAATCATTTCTGGACTTCCTGCTTAAAACTAAAAAAGTAACTTTGATTTTAGACTTTGATAGAATGAGTTTGTATTTATTATTTATTTTTATTTATTATTTTTTTTATGCTGCTCATTTCCCCTACAAAATGACTGGGCAGCTTTGTAATTTTAGAATTTTAGAAATGGCTTGAAATGTTGTGAAATGTAAAGCAAAAGGTTGAGGTTGTAATTTTTTTTTTTTTTTTTTGCATTCTATTGCACTAAAGAAAATTGAAAGTCATTCTTTCTCATTTGTTCATTTTTCTCATTTTTCTAACTTAATTTATTCTATACTTTTATTTTTTAAGGAAACTATATAAACGATGTATTAAAAAGAAAAGAATCCAGTTAGAAAACTTGTGGGTAGCTTTTTTGTAAATGACTGTGGTATTGAGTTTACTGTAATGGGCTCCCAAAACAAATTTAATAAATAATAATAGTAATATTGAGAGTGCTGATATTTCTATGTTTTTTTGTAAGCAGCAGAAATAGTTTCACTATATTACATTAGATCTGAGATAATGTTCACAAGGAGTATTGCAAAGCAACATAGGAACTGTCACAGTTCAAAGTCCTGGGCAGCCTTGTACCTACCATTTCCTATCATCCCTGGAAAGCAAATGTATTAAGCCTACTCTTCTTGAGGGAAAATAAAATAAAATCCCATATGAGTCACTTCAGGCTAGACAAAGCCCTGAGCCTATTATGCAGGGCACTGTCCTTTGCTGGCTTACAAATGCCATCTAGATTAGATGTCACAGCTCTAATTTCATCTGTTGCACTTGGTAAAGATCCTTAGAGATAATACTCAACTGAATTTAGAAATCTAAATATGGTCAACTTATAACAACAATTGGGACCAGAATTTTTATTACTAAGCAAGGCGATGGTAAGTGAGTTGTTTACAATTTTATGACTTTTTTGCCAAAATTGTTAAGCGAATTATTGCAGTGGCTAAGTCTCAATCATGCAGTCATTAAGCAAACCTGGCTTTCCTCATTGACTTTGGATGTCAGAAAATGGCTGTCATGTTGCAAATGATAATCACATGACCCCGAGATGCTGCAGTTATTGTAAATACATGCCGGTTGCCAAGCAACCAAATTTTTATCAGAATGCTGGGTTTGTTGTAAATGCAAGGACCAGTTGTAAGTCATTTTTTCCAGTGCCGTTGCAACTTCAAACAGTCATTAAATGCATATACTCGCATAGAACAAGATTTGGTTTCCCATTATGAACTTTCATTGGGCTGGAGGACAAGTCTAGTTAGTCTGGTTGAATGGCTATGGTTGGAAGCCAAGTTACAGGAGACCTTTATGGGATAGAGTTTTTATAGGACAGTCTGTTGCTGCTTCCTGGACCAAGACTAAAAACTGACTGCCAACTATGTTGAAGGAATCTCTTAAGGATTATCTGTGCTTTGGGGGGGGGGAGGGATAAATGGGACTTTTCAGAACAGGTGTTGCCTTAAAATTTACACAATTTTCATTGCTGATACTCTCAGAATTATATGCACAGGATACTTTTCATTGGTGAAAAATGCCTCTTCTTCATTTAGTCATTTTCCAAAAGGATTCAAGCCTCTCTGTGATATAGTTTGTAATATTAATCTATGATAATATAATAATAAAGCCACATAACTAATGGATTTAGATAATTTTTATGAACTACTGTATAGCTTTGGCACATATATTGTTTGGTGTGCCTTATACAGACTTTACATGCAGAAAAAGATCGTATAATTTAATGATTTTCCCTCCAAGAGTTATGAACTTTTGTCACATATTCTTGAGCATGCCATTCTGTGACCACTAAATATAGTTGATATATCTCCACTTTTTTATTTTTATGTATTAGACATACACAAATGGTTCACTCCAAAAGTTTCTGGAATGGTTCCAGGAGCAAGGGATGGACATTCAGCATGTGTCTTGGGAAAGAGCATGTATATTTTTGGAGGATATGAGCAACTGGTAAGTTGTTCTAAAGTTTGTACCATTTATATGCAGATCTACTTGCTTTCAATATTTAAATACATCTTTGAAAAGTAAAGTCAGGGTTTTTTTTGTCAGTTGCTGATGATAGCCTAATATTTCCACAGTCTAAAAATAATGCTAAATTGCTATTGAAGCTAGAAACAAAACTTACTAAATACAGTCAGATTTATTTCAAAACATGCAACTCGGGATAAAATAGTCCATACCTTGGCTTTGAGCTAAAATCTGTTTGTTAATATTTTTGCAAGCTGATCGTACTGAGAAACAGATGAATAACAGTAACAACAGATAACAGATAATTGGTTTCTCTATCAACATTTCAGGCATCTTTGTCTTTATTGGTCAGACTGTTTTAAATAAAGCCTATTAGGTCCTGTGGCTGTATCAAATATTAAGCCCATATCTATCAAATAATCTGTTGGACATTTCTGGTGCTTCTCATGACCGTATGTGGATCATAGTTACAGCTAGGTTTAGCAATAGCATTAAAGTTAGAACCGTTTTCAGTGAATCTGCAGAATTAACCTGCAGAATGCTGTAATGCCCTCTGAAGAAAACTTCAGAAACGAAGTAGTAATTTAAGTTACTAATCTATAACTCCAAATACTTTGTCTTCTTTTATGGTAATTCTAAATTCCCCAAATCCATGGCAAGGACAGCCAAATTGTATCTTTTAAAAGTTAGTACTGATTCCTTTCAGAATATTTGGCTTGAGGTTTGGGGGGGGGTAACGTAATGAGTTCCATTAAACTTGCATTGCTGGAACAAGTTAGGTTCGGCTTTATTATTTTAAAAGGCAGTTGATTTAGATAAATCATTCAGAACCATGGCTATTAGTGACAATGGATTTAATATCCATTGCTTACTTTTGATGTCTGTAGAATGGAGATAGTTTTATGATGACAACTATGGTAAAGCCCATGCAGCTTGTAATTCTGTATTCATTTTGAGATTTGGATAATCTAACCACTGAACAGGTACTTTGTTTTTTACTCACTTCTTATAGTTCCCTGAATATATTCTAATTCCACAGGGAAATCTTGAAGAATTAAATTCAAGAGTTTTCTTGTCTGGGAACAAGGTAATCAATATCTCTTTAGGAATCCTAGATTCAGTTGGCAATTCTGTTTTGATATGTCAAGTAGTTTAATCACTGCTTTTTCTTTCAGGCTGATTGTTTTTCAAATGACATCCACAAACTTGACAGTAGCAACATGATGTGGAGTTTGATCTGCACTAAGGTCAGTATATATGCAAGGAATGTATTTTTTGCTCATTAAGCGATCCTATTTCTAGTTTAACCTCTGTCTGCTGTGGGTTAAAATCAACTGGAGTATGAATACTCTGATCCCATACCCTTCCACTTCTTTTATTCCAAAAATTAACTTTCCTTTGACTGCCTCTAACAGAAATTATTTTTCAGGGCACACCAGCTCGATGGAGAGATTTCCATTCAGCCACAATAATTGGGACAAAGATGTATGTGTTTGGGGGAAGAGCAGATCGCTTTGGGCCATTCCATTCCAACAATGAGATTTACTGTAACCGAATCAAAGTATTTGACACAGACACAAACTCTTGGCTGGATTCTCCTCCCACTCCTCTTCTCCCTGAAGGCAGACGAAGTCATTCAGCATGTAAGCTGTAACGCTCTGTAGACTATATCTAAATGGTAGAGATCAAACAAATGTCTTCAGAAGGTCATATATTGTTCTGTGTTTTTTCTGTCTATATTTTTCTGTCTTTCTATAATTAGTCATGTGCATCTGTCGAGGGAAATGCCAAAAGCTCAACTGAGTCAAAAGAACAGTGAAGTTGGGGGGAGAGAAATCAATTGCTTATCTTTCTGTCTATTGCCCCTGCTTTTGAAATTATTCTGACCTGTCTTTTCTCTGATTTTACAGTTGGCTACAATGGAGAATTATATATATTTGGTGGTTATAATGCACGCCTGAACAGACACTTCCATGACCTTTGGAAATTTGATCCAGGTATTAAACTCGCTCCTTTCATTGGTACTTTTATGATCATAATTATAATGATGCACTGAGCTGAATACAGGTAGTCCTCAACATACTAGCCCAATTGGTATCAGAATTTCTGTCATAAGTCATTGTAACTTGAGTCTAACCCAATTTTATGACAATTTTTATTGTGGTCATTAAGCAAATGACATGGTGGTTAAACAAATCACACCCAAATCATTAAGCAACTCCAACTTCCTCAATGGTTGTTTTTTTATCAGAAATCAGCAAAAAATGTTGCAAATTGCAATCAGGTGACTGCAGGCCTCTGCAACCAGTTGTAAATGCAAGATGGTTGCCAGACACACAAATTGCAATCTTGTATCTGTGAAAATGGTGCAATGGTCATAGGTGCAAGTGCAGTTGATAAGCCCAAGACCATCATTACTTTGAACTATTGTTAAATGGTCACTTGTCAAGGACTACCTGTATACGTTGTATAAAATAAATGGGGGCATATAAATGTAGCTAGGGATTCCATCAGTATCAGCTGTTTATGATAAGTATCTGGAGACCAATTCAAATTATTATTATTATCATTCACATATGTGTCTTATTCCACAATGTTCACATTGCACTACTGTAGTGAAATACAGCAACAGGGAATAACCATCTGCAGCATGCCCTAAGGATTCTTTGAATGTGCAGAAGGGATGTTTTAAAATATCAAGTTTTTGTTAAATGATGTGATCTGTTAAAATGGAATTTGCACAGATGGAATATGATTCACAGCTCCTACAAGTTCAGTCTATAATTAACTCAAAATTAATTATAAAAATTCATGTCTGAGAAAAACATAGGAAAAATATATATTGGGATGAATGCATAGTAAAAACATACAAGAGAAAATTATCAATTTTCTCAATTTCAATTGTTGTGGATTTGGGGAGTGTTAAAACTGGATCAATATAAATGTGCAGATCCCAATTATGCATTACAATGGCAGATTGTGCAGTGAACAAGATTGCTTATTGCTGGTTATTGTCTGCAGGTTGGACAAAATAGGTAAGATGGCAGTCACAGCATCACAAAGTCAAGTGTGCAGTGTCAGTATACATTGCTATGACTGATAGGAATCTAGGGCATATTGAACTTACTGGCTGTAAATTTTTATAGATTCTACTCCAGTAACAGCAGTGTCAGCTTGCAGATCACGTGATTGCATCAAGGATATTTCTGAATGGGAATCAAAATTGTGGAGGTTTAGGCATTATTATTATTATTATTATTATTATTATTATTATTATTATTATTATTATTAGTTCAATTTATATGCCGCCTTTCTCCGAAGACTCAGGTGGCTTACAATGTATTTAAAAAAAACATTATAAAACATTTTAAAATTAAAACATTAAAACCTATTCACACCATTCATGGCCGGATCTCACAAGATCGCAACAGCGAGATCAACGGCCCCAGGCCTGCCGGAAAAGCCAGGTCTTCACCGCTTTTTGGAAGGCCAATAGGGTGGGGGTGGTCCGGACCTCAGGAGGTAACTGGTTCCAGAGAGCTGGGGCAGCCACAGAGAAGGCCCTCCTCCGCGGGCCCGCCAGCCGGCATGATAAGGCAATAGTCTCATCTGCATTGTACTTTTGATGGATAAATTAGCTGGATGAATTATGTGATTCTAGCTCTATATTAAGAACTTTTTATATGTGATTGTTCTATGATGGCAAAGAGATACCATCCGTTCATTGATTTGAAAATGGGAAAAGGGGGATTCTAAATTATTCAGGAAATATGTTCTTATTTGATTAGGTTAATATTCCAGCAATTCAGATTTTTTCCAAGAAGCTTATTTCTTTTGTGAGGGTTAAAGTCCAAAACCAATCTGATGTTCAGTTGATTACTTTTTTCACATGATCTTTCCCATCCTCATGTTTTTCCTGAGTCTTTTAACCATGGAAACACTGCAACCCATTCTAAAAAGCCTTCTTAGTCTGAACAGAAGGACCTAGCACGGGCCTCTGTAATCATGTTAAATCTTTAAGATGTCTTTTTCTTTGAGGAACATTGGCCGTGTATTGATATTTAATGTATTAAATTGAATAGTAGGTGGAGATATAGTTTCGGTTCCTGCTTAGGCAGATATTCAATAAATTAAGACTTGATGCATATAATGCTACTTTTTAGCCTCAGTCGGTTAATAAAAAGAAGGGCAAAAAAGTACTTTTCTTCTCTATGCATTCATTTTAAGTTTCTAAATTTTGTTCAGAAAAGCATCCACAAGCCTCTTGGATTCCCACCCCTCTCAGTGGCTGTTCCTGAAACAGACTTTTCTGTTTAGCTTTTCCCATGTCCCAAGAGACATACGCACGCAAACTTGGAAAGAGACAGAACAGGAGGCAAAGGATTAAATATTCCTGTTCTTCCCATTCTTTTCTCTGTTTATCTAAATATGCATAGCTTTAATTTGGTGTGCTTAAGGAGTAGGAATACAATGAAATGAATGTTATCCTAAAAACAATGAATGTTACTATTTAGGGATTAAGCCAATAATTTCTAATTATAGCTGAGCCAGTGAGACAGAATATAGAAAACTGATCAGTATCAGTAAAAAAGCTCACAATGATTTATAATCCCAAAATATGTAATTTAATTACTATATCATAATGTTCTTTTTTTCCAGAGATTTAAGTTCATAACAATCTCAGTACTGTATATTAAACCAACTTAAAAATAATTGCATTAAAGAGGACAATTAACTGCCAAAAACTTAGGAAAATAAAACTTTAGTCTACTTAACATAGTAAACACCAAGCAAATATTGCTGAACTGAGAATTCTATAATTTAGGGGCAACTATGTAAAATACAGTTATTTTTTACTTTTTGAAGATATATAAGAAGAGATTAACAATGGTAGAGTTAATATTTTTTCATTATCTGTTTTTTTAATTAGGCATAATTTAGATGATTTAGTGTCCTTAAAGTAGAGTAATAACAATTGCATGAACAGAACTTCATGCAATTAGCGGTAAGACATTAACATCAGTAAAATAATTTCGTTGGATTCAGTTATGATCTGTCTGATCCATTATCCTAAAACCCCATAGCCAAAATTTTTCATATCTCAGTTGTTTCTTGGAATAAATTCTTGAAATAAATAGAGTTTTCTGTTTCCTTTGTTCTCCTTCCCTTGCCATATTCAAAAAATAGCAAGAAAAAAAAGTTATTTTCTTTTGATAATGAAATCAATTGATGATTGGAGGCAAAATAACTTCCATACAGCTGTTTTTCTTCTGAATTTGCACATTTCTTCCCTCAAAGGAAGAGTAACAGGCTTCTCTGGCTTCTACACTTCATGTATTTACCAAGAGGTGGCACTGTATCTACATGTTTTCTTCAAGAAACTATATATTATAAGCCTATTTTTTGAAAATTTTGAAAGAAGCTGTGTGGATTCTTATTTACAAATTCTCTTTTACCCTCCAAAGCAATTGATGTTTCAAGGATCCTTATGTTGTAAAGATCTATCTAAAATGAATTTGGGGCTAAATGATTTGGAATCTTTGAACTGTGCTATCTGTGACTTCCCAAGGAAATTTATAGGAGCTTGCAGTATTTTATTTGAAGATATGTAATACAGTGTTAGTTTACACCAGCTTCTAAGAAACTGAAGGTATGAAATCTGAATACATTTTCTAAAGATGTTTAGCCCATACCAAGACTATACAATTGTGCATCTATCAATAAACGATCATCAGAGAACTAAAGCTCACAAACAAGCTTTAACAAGCTTACAAGATCCCATTTTCTGTGAAATTTACAAGGGATCTGGAATCTAGCTATCTTAAAATAAGTTATTCTGATTAAGAAATGAGTAAGTAAAAAGTGGAAGGAAAGATGAGATGCTTAAGCTTTTGGTTTAGTTTCTATGTAAAACATAAACTCCCTACAATTTGAGTTTGTCCCTTTGACTTATCTATAATAAAAAACTTTGCAATATTTGTATTTCATGGTCTATGTGTTTTCTCCAGTCTCTTTTACCTGGAAGAAAATTGAACCCAAAGGGAAAGGGCCATGTCCTCGCCGTAGACAATGCTGCTGTAGAGTAGGGGACAAGATCATCCTCTTTGGTGGCACCAGGTAAATAATATTTCATATTGTCTTTATTAATGTTCTGTTTCATCTGTATATTTGAATAAAATGTTTCCTAGTCTTAAATAATGTAAAATTTGTGTGTGTGGGTTTTTCTATGAAGACCAAAAAAAAAGCTGAATCATATAAACATTATTAATCATTCTAAAGCCTCTATCGAGTCTCTATCGTACTGTGGTTCTGAACCCTAGATATCCTAATGCATTCAAACTTCTAAGCATATCTACCTACCTACCTACCTACCTACCTACCTACCTACCTATCTCTGAACCAGTTGTTCCTAACTTCATATCCTCCAGATGTTTTACACTGTAAACAGTGGATGGAAACAGTAGTTGTGAGGATCAAGAGAACATTGCAATTAGGAAGACTGTTTCCTGATGACTTCAGGAACCCCCTAGATGTCATTTTTAGTAGCTAATTCTTTGTGAAATAATAATTGTTCAAATACCTCTGGGATACTGTATATCACAGACAGTATTAAAATATCACTGTGATTGAGTGATGGAAAACCTCTCCTGAAATGACAAGATTTATAGACAAACTGAACATTTTAAAAATTTATTCAGATATAGCTTCATTCTGTTAATCAAGTTGTTTGGAATTATTTGCTTTTTACATTGTGATCCTGTAGCACACATTGTCTTGCTTTTATGTGAGGCAATATTGGGGGAGGGGGGAGAAGGAAAGCGTTCCCACCCTAAAATGCAGTTATCAATATACTATTACATCGGGACACAATATTTTACTCGGCCTACTGGTCAGAACTAATATGAATGCCACACTAGGGATAAATACAGTATTTAAAATAATTTGGTTATCTTCTGTTGTAAAATAGTGTCCATAGCTTTGTCTTGAGTCATTTCTTAGGCAAATAGGCAATTTCTTCAAGATGATCTTCCTGTGTTTGAGCTCACAACTTAACCTTTTAAATGTCTCTTTATTCTTGAATTTTACTGAAAAGGTCAAGTGATTCCAGTCATTCAAGATGCTCTGAATAAGATAATGGACTCTCATATAGAGTACATGCTTGATGCTACTCTTATATCAGCAGACACCTTATTTCCTACATTGTGGACTGATTTTGAAAGTTGGGTTAGCATTTTTGGTTCTGTGCTAGAGTATTTAAACTAAAGCAAATAACTGTTATTTGCAAAATGGGGGCTTGTGGCTGCTCTGTTTTTCTATTACTTTTTTTCCCTCCTTACCTTATCACACATCCCAGATCCTGAATTCAGACAAATCCTTGCTTAGAACTGTTTCAAACTAACTATTTATTTGATTTCTATAGTTGCCAATCTCAATAAACGAGACTAGTAGAAAAAAAAATCAAGCAATCTTTGACAAACCCAGTCTTAATCCAATTTAGTGAGTTTCTGGTTATTGCATGATACCTGTTTAAAAACAAACTAATGGTCTTGATTTTTTCCAATTTGTATAAGCAGTGTGCTCTAAATTCTTCACTCAAACTGTCCAGTCTCTGGGCTCATCATTCTGTCCTCCCATACCAAGAAACTGTCTAAGTGCATATGTGTTTCCGTTTGCATGTGTGTATACATAAGTATATGGCTGGAATTATTGTGAAATCACCTGGTTCTAAAAATGGCACCATTAGTATATTGGTTCCCTCCTGTAATTGCTTTTCATATTTTTGAAAACAGCCATATTCATATACTATATGCTGAAAATGGATGCTAGCAATTTTTTTGTTTTTTTATATGTCATGGAATCCAGTGCATGGTTATCAGTCTAAGAAATGTATTTCAAGAGGCAAGACATGGTCCTTTTTATAACATATCTTCTGTTGTTCAATTAGAGATAGAATTGATTGGCTTATGGTTTTCTAATACTATTTTAGAGTTTTGAGTTAACAGAATGTCAATTTCAGGTTGGTGTGCATGTGGATTAAGACCTGGAAATGGAATGAAAATAATGCTGTATGGAAGAACCCAGGATATGGGCCAGAATTATTTTACCACATTTTTTTTCTTTGTATTTCAAAAAAACAATGATCCTTTCAAATGAAATTCATTTTGCTTTTCTAATTTTTTTGGTAACTTTTTATTTTATTTTATTTAAAATATGTATATAGCTGCCCATTCTCATCTCCATTAAAAAAAAATAATTAATTGTGCTTGTACATTGTTAATACTTGCAACTTATCATGGTTTACACTAAGCCATTTAGATAATAGAATATAATTAAAACCATAAATAATAACATAAAACATGCTTACTCTTAAAGAATAAGCAAGTACAAATATTATAGATTGCTGCAGCTATCAAGCAACACTAATTGTTGAATACCCTGTGGAAAAGTTTTCCTTTGGAAAACTTTGGAAAGGAATTCGCACCAACCCAGGTCAGGTTCACCAAAGAGAAGCACCATCTCTCTCCCTATCCCCTACTCATTTCTTACCCTTTGTATCTGGAAAACACTCAGCATCCCCTACCAGAAAAAATATGCAGGATGGATCATTCCTATCTCATTTCTAAGCCATTTTGGTATACTTGTAAACCACCCAGAGTCACACAACTGTAAATGGCAGTATAAAAATTTGGCAAATATATAAGTGAGAAGGGGTCTAAATCAGGGGTGAAATGCTCCCGGTTTGAGTAGGTAGTGATGGCGGCGGGCAGTTCGGAGAACCGGTAGCAAAAATCCCTGCCCCCGCCCCCCATGCCCAGCTGAGCCGCATGATCATCAGAGCCTTTTTTTTCCTTTTAAATGGCTCTGACGAGCCAAGTTCTGACAATCCCAGTTGAGTTGCCTGCTAATCAGGCAACTCAGCTTGGATTGTTGGATCCATTTAAAAGAAAAAAAGTTTCTTTTTCTCTCTCCCCCCCCCCCCCGCCTCCAGCTTGCTTACCTTAGCTGCTGGTCACAACGCCTGCCTTGCTTCGCTTGCTCTAATACCTGCAATCCATTGCATCAGCAAGCAACTGAATCTCCCTGCCTGCAATCAAGCTCATCGGTGAGCATCTCTGTCTGCGACTTATGGACTTCAACTCCCAGTAAAGCTGGCTGACGAGTTCTGGGAGTTGAAGTCCACAAGTCTTAATGTTGCCAAGGTTGGAGACCCCTGTTCTATTGGATAAGTTTTTCCCCCTTTGGGAGCTTTAAAAAAATAGTTAATTGGGGTTTTTTTTTAGTTGTTCTTTTTTTAGACCTAGCCATTTAAAGTTTAGGAAGTTTTAAATTTAGCTGCTTTTATATAAAAATAAAATAAAATAATATTTGTGCAGCTTTCTGAGATTTAGTGTGTTTCTGTAATGTTTCACTCTAACTACACAAACATACAAATCTCACAAAGCTGTATGTGGAATTTTGTGTGTGTAAAGTGTGAAAGTTGGTTTCTTGGGTTTTTTGTGGCTGTGTGAGGTTCCTGCTTGTTGCGGGGCCATTTTGGGTCTAGCACAGCTGCTTTTACATTGTGGGTGAGCCAGTTGTGTTGTGTTGTGTTTTGTAGGTTAAAAAAGGGCAAAGAAGTGACATTGACTTGGCCACGCCCACCCAGTCACCTTACCACCAAGCCCCACTCACTAATTAAGCCATGCCCAGAGAACCGGTAGCAAAAAATTTTAGATTTCACCTCTGGTCTAAATGCCAAAAAGAGCATTTGGAATCCACCCCAGAAACTATTAGCCAATGCAGCACCTGCAGTATATCTGTCTCATGGTTATAATGGTTCTTACTGTCAGCATATGGGAACTACATTCTGCAAGATTTGCAGCTTATAAGTAATATGCCAAGCAGCAATTCCATGTCAAGGGCATTGTGATAGTTTTCCCGAGTGGTGATTTATTTATTTATAAAATTTATTTTATCTCAGAATAACTCTGAGCAGCTTATAATTATAAATGTCTGTTGCCGGAAATTCCTATTTCAAGAAAGGATACAGCTGGCAAACTAGCCAAAACTAGCTATTTTTCAACCTCCTTGTACTTGGACTTAATTTTCATAAATGTTAATCATACCTATATCTCATGGAGCATTTCCTATTAATAGATAATAGCAGTACACTTTTGAAAATTTTGGCTAGTATGCCATAAGTATAGCTTGAATCCACTTCTACGCCATACACATTCATGCTATTCTATACAATCTAGAACAGTGATGGTGAACCTTTTTGGCACCGAGTGCCCAAACCGGAAGGCCCTTGGTGGCGCAGCAGACTAAAGTGCTGTTAATTAGCACTTAGCTGCCAGCTCCTGCAATTACTGCAAGTTCAAATCTCACCAGGCTCAAGGTTGACTCAGCCTTCCATCCTTCCGAGGTAGGTAAAATGAGGACCCGGATTGTGGGGGTAATAAGCTGACTTTGAATAAAAAAACGCCGCTTGGGGGGGGAGGGCGAAAGCCCTACTAAGCAGGTATATACAAAAGTATGAAGGCTATTGCTTAACGCATTGTAAGCCGCCCTGAGTCTCCTGAGAAGGGTGGCATATAAATAAAACCAATAAATAAATAAATAATGCATGCGCCGGCCACCTGATCTTTTGGTTTCCTGCGCGCCAGCCAGCTGGTCTTTGTATGCACTGGAGCATGTGTGCACCAGAAACCAGAAGAGCAGCTGGCGACAGCGCACGTGCCCACAGAGAGGCTCTGTGTGCCACCTCTGGCATGCATGCCATATGTTCGCCATCACGGATCTAGGATCTCAAACCTAAAGAGTATCTTGCAATCCAGTCTAACGTTGCCCATCCCCATCCACTAGGAGATGAACACGGTGCTCTGAATCATATTTAAGAATACCTATACAAATTGGGGAAATCTCTACTTCATAAAAGTAAAATGCAAAATTCAGGATAAGTTTTTTTTTACTCACTCCATATATTTTCTTTTACTCCTTTCTTTAGAGTACTTCTTAGTACTTCATTCTAATCTGACAGGAAGAAAACATTAATTCCTGGAAAAAGAGAGGACCGTTTTCAAAGTACAAATGGGCAATGAAGATAAAGATATGTGGGAAAGAGAAGGTGGTGTTAA